AATTCAGCTCTTTATTCTCTTCATATCGCTTTTGTTTTCTAATTTTTTCATTTTCTTTATGTTCTAAATTTTTATATTTAATACGATTCTTAGCGCAAATAGTTGCCGAATTTTGCAAGTAGTATTCTTGCTGTGGTTTACGATGTTTTTCTATTTTTTTACTATATACTGTTGATTATTCTTACGTTGTTTTTTAGTTTTACGTAATATACGCATACGAGTCGCGTTATTCTTTTTTTGTATCACAATTCCTAATGGCAATATTTTGTGAACTGGATAGCGCTTATCTTGAGGGAAATGCTCAATTTTGTTTCAAAAATTTTAAGTAAATGTGAACGCATCATGCTATGATCATACGTAACATCCTCAGGCGGAATGTTATATGATTTAGAGATCGCAAAAACTATTGCGAAAACGCCGCAATCATTTCCGTTCGGTTGTTGTTGCACTGTAGGAAATTTGACAGAATTGAAATTATAATCTAGAAATAATCTTTTCAAAAATGTTTTATGATTTTTGTGCAATTCTTTTTTATTCAATAAATCATAAATAAATATGTTTTTTTGTGTCATAATAGCTACATACCCAATGTCCATTACTCATATCCGGATCCGAACTGAACAAGATTTGTATATGCTTACTATTTATCGGTATAGATTCTATTCTATCAGGCACGTACAATTTATAGCTATCAACAGGTTTGTATAGGTTTGATGTACAATTTTGTAAGAGACAGTTAAAACGATCCATATGTACGTCTGTTAACCAACCGTCTTGAACAATTATATCTTTTTCTTTTTGCTGTAAAATCATATGTGTTTTGGCCATTTTTTAAATATTAGTATAATTGTAAAAACAGCACAGTCTATTAAAATTCTTATAGGCACAGAAGCAGCCTACCTTTGGGTTCTTATAGGCGCAGAAGCAGCCTGTTTTTTATAGACGCAAAAGCAGCCTGTTTTTATAGGCGCAGAAGCAGCCTGTTCTTTATAGGCGCAAAAGCAGTCTGTTTTTATAGGCGCAGAACTAGCCTACTTCTTGGTTCTTATAGGCGCAGAAGCAGCCTGTTTTTTATAGGCGTAAAAGCAGCTTGTTTTTATAGACGCAGAAGCAGCCTACTTCTTGGTTCTTATAGGCGCAGAAGCAGCCTGTTTTTATAGACGCAGCCTTGTATATACTGATGATCTATAGGCACAGTCTTGTATAGTTATACCTGCAAAAAAATTTAAATTATTAAATATATGTATATTTCTGTTTAACCGTTATTTAAAAAATCATCATATTAAGATAAAAGGCTCAAATTAAAGTTTAAACATTTCTTTTAATCATTTCGATTCTTTGTATTAGAATACTCTAGTTCAAAAATACAAAACTGCTAAATAAAGAGGCAATATGCATTACTAAACATGTATACAGGGTGTTTCAGAACTATGGGATCAAACTTCTAGGGGTTATTCAGTGCAACAGTAGAAAACATTTGAGTATAGGGACCCATGTCCGGAAAAGTGTCACTACCGCACTACGGCCCTAAGACGCGGTAAAATTTAGAAAGACGATGAATTGCCTAAATAGGATTTAATGCATTTAATTTTTGCCTTTTGTACAGTGCGGTGCAATAATTNATGCGGGTAAAACAGATAGGCAAACATTAAATGCATTAAATCCTATTTAGGCAATTCATCGTCTTTCTAAATTTTAACGCGTNTTAGGGCCGTAGTGCGGTAGTGACACTTTTCCGGACATGGGTCCCTATACTCAAATGTTTTCTACTGTTGCACTGAATAACCCCTAGAAGTTTGATCCCATAGTTCTGAAACACCCTGTATATTCCCGTACGCGTGAAAAACAAATGTTAATATCGACAATTATTTTTCATTTTTTTAAATATAATTTTGTTAGTTTTAAATACAATTTTATTATAAAATATCAACATTTGCTATTTTTTTATTTTTGAAAACTATTTTTCTATCAATAATTTGATCCTTCTTTTATCTCAATATGATGATTTTTTGTTCAGTTATGAACTATTAAAATTATGTTTAAGTTTAACGGTAGTCCGTTTTTTTCGAGTGATATTTATAATATATATATTATTGTTACACACATACCTATATATATTTTCTCTCGTCTTTTTATTTTTCTTTCTTGTCTTCCTTCTTCCCGCTAACAATTCTTTCCGCTCTTGTGCTACTGACTATATATATATATATATATATTATATATACGAAACACACATAGATATATATAGGAAATTAAAGGTGTTTTCCAACTACGTACACAAGCAAACACTGATATGCTCTTTCTCACACTAATGGACACTGTGTTACATAATGTCGTTTGTGTACCTAGCTGGAAAATACCTAAACATTATTATTATATATATATATTGTGACGTGACACTTTTCGCGTCCGTCACAAGGTCATAATTTTGGCCGGCACGAGAGGCGATGGGCTCGCGTCTTCCACTATGTTAGGGAGAGCAGCTCATTAAGCGGCGTAGCGCACGCGTAGGCGCTTAATTTTGCGAGGACGCTTAGCGTCAGTATTTGAGGTGGCGAGTATTTGATATGTCACACGTATATTAATTTTGTATTTTATTTACAGCTTACGTAGTATTATATGATGGCACATAATATTGTATATTCTATCTTTTGCCGCACGT